CGGCACCAAGGCGGTGCCGCTTCCGGGCAAGCTCGCCAGCAAGAACGCGGCGGAGCAGTACGAGCAGCCGCCGTTCACGCTCAAGGACGTGCGCGATGCGGTGCCGGCGCACTGCTTCAAGCGCGACACGCTGCGGTCGATGGGCTACGTGGCGCACGACCTTGTGCTCGCGGCGGCGCTGTTCTACGCGGCGACGTTCATCCCGCAGCTGCCGCTCGCGGCGCAGGCGGTTGCGTGGCCCGCGTACTGGGTCGCGCAGGGCATTGTCTGCACGGGCATCTGGGTGCTCGCCCACGGTGCGTCGCGGCTGGCTGCCAACCGACCGGCGCGCTGCGCGGCGTGGTCGCCGGTGTGGTGCGGTGCGGTGCGGTGCAGTGTGCGGGCGGCTGACGCAGCGGCGCTGTCCGATCGCAGAGTGCGGCCACGGCGCCTTCTCGCCCAGCAAGGCCGTCAACGACACCGTCGGATACATCCTGCACACGGCGCTGCTGGTGCCCTACTTCTCGTGGAAGTACACCCACTCGGTGCGTCGCCCATTGCTTTCCGCCGTGTCTCTCCCGCGCCGTGGCCGTGTCTCTCTCGTCCACCGCTGCTCCGACCCCGCCTGCGGCTGCTGCCGCCGCATGCCCGCCTCTGCGTCTCCGCGCGCGCGGGCGATTGCGAGCCGCCGCGGCCCGCGCGCCGCTGCCCCGTGATTTCTGCGCCATCGCCGCGGCGGCGTTTCTGAGCCGCCGCCCGCCCGTCACGATGCGATGGCGCTGACGCCCGCGGTGCCGACCCCCGATCCGATTCGCGCGAGCAGAAGCACCACAAGGCCACGAACCACATGACAAAGGACCAGGTCTTTGTGCCGTCGCGCCGCGCAGAGGTCAACCCGACGATCAAGCGCGCCATCCCGGCGTCCGAGAACCTGGCCGACGGCGACGAGCACCCGCTGACCGAGGTCGCCCCGATCTTCGCCGTCTTTGAGCTCGCCCGCATGTTGATCTTTGGCTGGCCCGCGTACCTGATCTACAACGCCTCCAGCCAGCAGTACACGCAGTTTGCGTCGCACTTTCTGCCCTCGTCGCCCATGTTCGACCCCAAGCACGCCCAGGGCGTCTTTGCGTCCGACATTGGTGTCGTTGCCATGATTGCTCTGCTCGCGTACTGCGGCCAGGTCTTTGGCTCTTGGAACGTCGTGACTTTCTACGTCCTGCCCTACCTGATGGTCAACTTTTGGCTCGTGACCATCACTTTCCTGCAGCACACAGACCCGGAGCTGCCCCACTACTCGAACGAGCACTGGGACTTTTTGAAGGGAGCGCTCGCCACCATGGACCGCGACTACGGCATCCTCAACTACTTCCACCACCACATGTGCGTTGCTTGCCCGCGCGGCAGCGTCTTGCGCGTGCTGTTTCTTGGCAGATTTGCTCCGAGGCTGACCTGCTGTCACATCGACCCTGCGGACTCTCGCTCCCTTGTCGTGCACGCACTCGCACGTGCAAATCGATGCAGCGGCGACACGCACGTGGTGCACCATCTCTTCTCGACGATGCCGCACTACCACGCCGAGGAGGCCACCGAGGCGGTCAAGAAGGTGCTCGGCAAGTTCTACCACCACGACGACAGGGCGATTTCGGCCGCGCTGTACCAGTCCATGGTCAAGTGCCGCTTTGTCGAGGACTCGGGTAAGCGCACGGCGGTGTCGGCGGTTGTGGTTGTTGTTGGCGCCTGCGTGTGTGACGATGGCGCTGACTGCGGGCTGGTGGTTGCGGCTTGTGGCGCTCGCTCTGGTGGTGATCCGGATGCTGCTGCCCGTCGATGCAGGCGACGTTCTTTTCTTCAAGTACTAAAATCATCGCGAGTCGGGCATGCCTGCCAGGATGCCTCTCGCCATCACACGGCGCACATGCCGGCATTTAAATCATGCGTGTGTCTGTGTGGTACTGGTGTGGGGCTCTGGAGGCAGGAAACGGAGTGTTGCCAATAATCGGTTTGCTTTATTCGCAGAAGGACGATGCTGCTGCTGCTGGCGCCATCTTGGTGTAAGGGGTCTCGGCAGCGGTAACGGCAGGGGCTGCGGTGGGCAGCAAGCAGCAGCCGTCTGGCACATAGAGAGGGAGAAGGAAAAGGAAAAGAGAGGAAGAAAAGGCCGCTCGAGGAGTAGATGTGCCTCACCGCTTGCTGCGGGACTGCTCGGGCTCCTTGACCTCGGTGCGGCAGCTGGATTGGCGCACGCAGCGTGTCAGCCAAGCTTGTAGCAAAACAAGAATCACAACACAAAATCCGCAAGTGATTCAGTAACTCACATGGGACACATCTTGCTGTTCTTGAGCCAGCTGGTGACGCACTCGCTGTGGAAATCGTGCCTGCAGGGCAAGTTCATGAGAACATCGCCGTCGGCATAGTCCTCGAGGCACACGGCGCAGCGCGTGTCGCCCTCGCTGCTGGCCGAGGCTGCGGCTGCTGCTGCTGCGGTGGCTCTTTGGGACGCAGATCCGCGAGCAGACGCTGATCTCTGCGACGCCGTCGAGTTCGAGGTCGCCGCTGGCGTCGCGGTCGCCGTGGTCGCCGAGGTCGCTGAGACGGCCGTGGCCGCGCGGTACACGCGAGTGGGCAGGCCTCCGAGAACGCGCTCCGAGACGCCGCGCGGGACAGCATTGCCGATCCGCTCGCTGAGGGCCAAGAGCGACTCGTAGCTGTCGTCAAACTCCTCGTCGCGGATGTAGTTGCCGCGGTCCGAGACGCCAGACAGGCCGCCGTGCATCGCCATAAGCTCGACCATGTACGGATGAAAGTCCTGGAAGGCCTCGAGGCGACGCACAAACGAGCGGACATTGTCGCGCCAGTAGTTGCCGTTGGCGTCGCCGTCCAACTCGCCAAAGAGACCTGTAAATCTGCCTCCAGCGGCCAAGGAGGACGCCGAAGTCGAGCCAGCGGCGGGGCGAGATGAGCCTGCAGACGAGCCCGGGGTAATGCGCGTCCGGGAGAGCGACTCGAAGCTGACGAGCAGGCTCGATCGCAGTGCGCTGCGGCCACCGAGTCCGAGCGGAGGCATGCGGACGGCGCCAGGCCAAGCGCGAGCAGGACCAGGCCCGCCGCTGCTGCTGCCCGCCCCGCCATTGGACGCCTCCGCTTCGACGTCGATAGAGGCCGTCGATCGGTTGGGGTTACGATAAAGCGACGACGACCAGGGGCGAATCGTGTTGCTCCTTGTGACAGCGGGGATCGAACGCCGAGAGGTGCTCGGACCCGCCGTGCTGCTCGAAGGGCCGCCAGCAGCCAGATCGTCGCCGTCCACATCCATCGGATCGTCGTTGTCGTCGTCATCGTCATCAGAGCTCGACGACGAAGAGCTGCGCTCGTGCGACTCGTCCGACAATGCACCCGCGAAACCGGGACTGTAGTCGCCAGATGAGGGCGGCCGCTGCGTGATCCCGAATTGAAAGCCGCCATCGTCGTCGTCGCGGTCGAACGGGTCGTCGCGGTCGAACGGGACGTCGCGGTCGAACGCGTCGTCGCTTGCGTCGAGCGGGGTTGAATCGGGGGCGTCGAAGCGTGCCGGGGGGTTGCGGCGGGCAGCGGAGCGTGGGAGGAGCAGAGAGCGGAAGAAGGGATCCATGGGCAGATCGCCTTCACCAGCGGCCGGCTCCAAGACCGAGCGCAGGCGGGCCATGCGGAGCAATGGATCGACGGGCTGGATCGCTCCGTACTCTTGCTCCTGCAGCATGCGCGCAAGCGCCTCGTCTTCGGCGGTCTGCGAGTCGGCGGCGGCCGGGGTCGGGGCGGTGGCCGAGGCCGCGTCGCGACCGCGCTCGACGCCCGCATCTGGACGTGGGCGGTCGCTGTCGTCGCCGCCTTCGCTCTCGTCGAGGGCAATCGCAGAGGCAGCGGCCGGGCCGGGCGCATGGGGCGTTGCCGCGGGCATCGCAGCGGGGCCAGCAGCGGCCGAGACGCTGGCAGCAGCCGCAGCTCGGGCCGTCTGGGGTCGGATCCGCTTGGCCGCCGGTGGGGCAGTCGGGGCGGCCAGCGCTGGCGGGGCGGGCACGGCAGGTCGCTTGCCGCGGGCACGGGCTGCGCGGCGCAGGGCCTCGGCAGCATCGGCGGCTGCTGCTGCGGCCGTGGCAGCGGCAACGTCGGCGGGCTGCTGAGGTTGATGCTGCTGGCGTCGCTGAAGTCCAGATGCGTTTGCCGCCGATTGCGTCGTCGAAGTCGCCGAGGCTGCCGCCTGCGAGCGGGACGGCAGGCGTGGGCGGGAGAGCGGCGGCGGCGGCGGCGAGGTGACCACGCTGCGCAGCAGGGCTCTGTGCGTCACACGCGGGGCCGCTCCCGCTGCGCTTGAGCCGCTGCTGCCGCTGCTGCCCGCGATGCGTCGAGCGGCGACGCCGCTGTTGCCGCCTCCACCGCCGACGCCGAGAGTTTGGGAGGCTGCAGACGCCGCAGCGCGCACGGGCCGCAGGCGCCGCATGCCCGCCGCCGCTGCAGGTCCGGCCACCGTCGCGGTCTGCTCGCCCGCCGCCGCCTGCCGGCCCGCCGGCGGCCGCGGGTCTGGCGGCCTTGGCGGCTCCTTCATGAGGGCCGCGCCCGCCAGCGTGCCCGCCGGCCGTGTCCCGCTCGGTCAGCGCCCGTCGCCGCCGATGCGCCGCCGCCGCAGCCCCGGCCGCCGCCGTTGCAGCGCATGCAGCCCGCTCACCGTGCTCTCCTCACGCGCACGCTTGCGTGTCTGCCGCGCGGACATGGCCTGAGCTCGGGAAAGCCCGCCGCCCTGCTCGTCGCGCATTGCCCTCGCCCGATCTCGTTCACCCCCTCGCTGTCAGCCACTGCGTTCGACACGCCGCAGAAGCAACTGTTGGTGCCTTGGCGGGGTGGAATGCTGTGCATGATGGCTCTTGCGGCTTCCCCTGTCCCGGGCAGCTGCCGCAGTCCCGCCACACGCGCCGTGCGGCCGCTGCATCGCCCACAGGCTGCCAAACTGCGGCGCAGGATTGTGTTTGCGGTCCGGGGTCGGTGGTTGTCCGGCTTTAGCTCAGTTGGTAGTAGCAACAGACTGTAGCGCGCGTCAATCTGTGGGTCCTCGGTTCGACTCCGAGAAGCCGGACTCGTTTTCCCAAACCTGCCGCCCCTGAGGACGCGGCCGAGGCGGACTTTGCCGCTGGTGCCTCGCATCCGATGCGCCGCGATCCTGTCGCCCCTCTGCAGACTCCGATCAACCGCGCTCTTCGTGAGCTGCTCAAGTTGCCCCGCCACACGCCTGTTGCCGCCAT